AAAAAAATATTTGAATAAAGATATTATTTCTGATAGTGAATCTGTTTCAATTTTCAAAACAGAAGGTAACCGAAGAGCAAGTATTATTCTATGTCGACTTCGAAACTCTTGCAGTAATTTAAATTATGATTTACACCATGACCATCTTACTAATAGTCCTGCTTGTACCTGCTCTGCTGAACATGAAACAGTATCTCATTACTTTTTGGAATGTCCTATTTTTAATAATCAAAGAACAACTTTGTTCACTTCTCTTAATAGTTATGGAAACCACAACCACATTGATAAAAACATTCTTCTCCAGGGCTGTCCTGATTGTGATGGGCTTACGAATAGAAGAATACTTGATGATGTGCATATATTTATTGGAAAATCCCGTCGTTTTAATTTTTATATGACTTAAAGCCATGATGGTATACAAAAATATACTATATATTCTATATTTCATCCAGGAGATTCTAGTTGAGCATGACTACTGTCTATTGCGTGTACTTATCATGACATTGTAAATAATTACACTTTATATGTATTAAATGAATTTATTATTTTTAATTGTAATTGTAACAGTTGTTGGTAGCAGTGACCTGTGCAATATATGCATATGGACTTTTGGTCTAAGCCTGCCAATATCTGTCTATGATAGTGTATATATATGCTGAAATAAATGTATTTGTACATGTACTTGTATGTGTGTGTAAGTGTGTGTGTGAGATGTTTCCTTCATGAGTTACTTCCCCTTAGCCTTGTGTTATTATGAATTATTTTGTGTTATTTTTTTCATTTGCAACATGTCTAAAATATTATGTCTCCTTGTTTATTCAACTTTGGTCATTTGACGGAGAGAATTTATATAGTCTTTGCCTGTTATTCAATCCAACTGATTATGACATCTTGTCAATAAAATTTGATGAAATGAACCATTTCGCTGAAGTTTATATCATTAGTTACACCAATCAATATCATACTTATAAAGTTCATTTGTATATAGCACGATCACATAGTCACATGGTTTAAAAGGCCAAGCAGTCAATGGATACAGAAAACATCTTGTTTTTATAGTATATATAGACTACATGTACATTCAATAAATAAACACATTGAAGGGGCTTGCTTTAAAGGTTACATGGATATAACATATATCGGCTGTATATACATACATATGATCAATTAGTAGAACATCACTAATTAGATAAGCTATATCTTTCCTTTTGTAGAGGCATATTATTGTCACATGTTATGATCCAGGAACGATAACACATAAAATTTAGATAACACAACTTTTTCTGTAGTAAATATTATCATTATACTTGTAGTATGAGACATGCACGTTCTACAGTATATGTTATGATAAAGAGATACATATTTGGAAAAATAAATTGACATTTATATCAAATATTCAGTGTTTACATTTTATGATACCTAGATAATGTTGGTAGATTATGTGTTCATAATCTATATACATATATGTATGTATTCAATTGATGGACCATCAATAATAAGCCAAGGTAAGTTTACTTATACCTAGGTATAAAAGTTTCCACTATAAAAGAAAATTTGCACATGTTATAATACAAGAGCAACACATACGCATTACTAAGCTTAGGTGAAGTAATATATATTATATTGATGATATAGCAAACCATAAGTTATACATTTGTATCAAATAAGTTAATTATATGATATATGTATAATTGGTTCTACACACATAGTCACATGGTGAGATTTATACAGTTATGGTACATATTTGACTTATTTGATAAAAAAAATGCAAAAAGGAACAAAACAAACAAATGACACATAATATGATCAGTTTATGTATTCATCAGATCACTTATGGTGTGACTGCCTGTTGTAGGATCTGTCACGGTTAGGAGCCAATGTCCTAGGGCCTGGTTGTTTCTTAGGAGGGGTTGGGGTAGGATTCTAACTCTTCAAGCTTGGTGACTTGGTGTTTCTCTCCACTATTGTTCCTGATAACAATCCTAACGTCTTTGGTCCAAGTGCCAGATATGAGACCCTGTCTCTTGAGAAAGTGAGCATTGAAGAAAACAGATGCCCTAGCTCTGGTTAGTACCTCATTGATGGGCTTATTGGATGGGGTGGGAGATGTGGGTGATGATTCCTGGTCTTAATTACTGAATAAGGAAAATCTGGCATCATAAACGTTGGCTCTGGGCTTATACGAGATGAAACGTACAATTATGTCTCTTGGATATGCCTTGTTGGTGGGACCCACACGATGTGAGCGACTGATGTCAGCATCAGTAACCATAACACCCAGTGTGTTATTGCACAATAATTAACTGGTCAGTGTTCTCGTGTTCAGATTCTGGGATCCCCCTGAATTTCAGACAGTTGCGACCTGAGTACTGTTCCATGTCATCTAATCTGTTTTCTTGTGACTTGACCTGTTGGTGTAGGGCAGTGATACCTAGACTTGATAGTAATGTGTCTTGGAACGGCGTATTGTTCATCAGCTGAGAAACCACTTCACACACTACTTCTGGATCCCTTAGTTCACCTATAGCCTGGACACGCTTTTTAACCTTAGCTGATAGTTCTGTGGACATGGTTAAGGGCTGTGAATGTTATATGCACAAAAATAATTTCCGACCAACAAAGGAAAAAATGGCGGGAATCACGACGGTCAGCTGGCGAGCAAGCAAAATGTCTAAATTCTGACATATGCATAATATTAGGCATTTTCAATCGAAGTGACCTATCACATACTACTTATCTTGTTCACAAAAGTCTTTTTAAACTTCACGTGTCAAAACCATGCTATCTCTAAAAAGTTGAACGCCGGTCAGTTTGCGTGTTTACATTTCATCCACGGGAAGCTAAACTATTTCTTTTCCCCCTATTAACACTTTCCCTCTATACCTGTAGTATTATCATTTAATATTTTCACCTTCTAAATATTCTAATTTAATCTATCATTCATATATCAAACTAATCTTAATTTATGCAAGAATGTAGTATGGTAATTTTATTCGAGCACGTTTTCTAAATATCATTATTTTTATTCAGTTTTTTGATATTTTCAATTTCTTAACAATACTTTTTGTCTTCATTTAATAAATATAGTTGTACAGCATTCTCTCTGCGACTATATAATCAGTATTGTGAATGTTAAACGGTTTAATTAAGAAAAAAAACTCCTAACTTATTTACATTGCAAAGCTAGACTTGTCAGCGATGTTCGTAGCGAATTGTTCTCATGTGTTGTATGTCTTGCGCTGGGAATGGCCCCAGCGTTTGCATATTCATACAAACTGACATCCAGTCCATGAAAATAAACTAGTTTTCCTAAACCTTGTCTCCTCGAAAGTACAAACAAAGCAAAGGACCATTTAGAGCCATTTCTGACCTCATCATGAATTTTAAATAGGTTTTAGAGTCCTTTTACGTTAAAACTAGACAATGGCAGCCTACCGCATTACGTCCCTTTGACGCGACTCTAACACCACCACACTTGTGACAAAAGTTGCAGACGCGCGTAAGGTAGTTCCGGTGTAACCAAGGTCCGGCGTCTAACGTTGTGAGCGTATTGACATCTAGTGTGTATCAATCAATACGTGCCGTTTTGAAAACATATGATGACATAAGACCAGCATAATGCGGAATTGTCATTCGATAACAAAGATTTTAGGATTAACGAGCAGATAACATGGACGATCGAAAGGACGATAAAGGTAAATGTTCATTCTGAGAAATAAGCCCAAGGTGCACACGTAACGTTATGGACACTATCTAGATACGCTTTTTCAGCAAAACAATAACGCTTTACTCTTACGATCCCACTTAACTTTTTTGGTGTCATTGTCGTCATATAGCCAAAAAAGCTCTCATCTCTTACTTATTTGTGTAAATTGGCAGTGTTTTGGGGGTATTTCGGGAAATTTTCACAAGTATATTTTGAATGATCGCACCTTTATGGTAATAATTTATCACACCCACGTTCATGAGGGGGTGGGGATGGTGGGTGGATTTACATACTAACATAGACAGAAAAAACACTGATGGGTAGATAGGTAGGTAATAAATGTCTTTTAGGAAATAAAATTAATAAAAATGGTTTAGCATTCACTCTCACAAGATAAAGAGGTTATAAACCACATTTGTAAACAACATTTATTAAATGGGTTCTTCTTTTTTTTGTTTACAATTTCATAAAACATACAATGTAATCCCAGCCACAGTAAAATCATGCATAGGTTAACAAATTTAATTTTAGAATGCTTTCATCTATGTATGTCTGATCCAATGATGCATGATTACAACATGAAAATCAGACACTACTTCAGAGATTTGAATCATTTCTAGATATACTTTTGATTCCTTTACTATAAAACAAGAAACCCTTCCTTTTTGGAATAGTATCACAACACTTATTTAATCTATTTTAACAATGAATGTCCATGGTGATGTGCAGGTTTGAATGTGTAAACTATTCTTGTCAAAAATATTAAAACATTACCAGTAAAAAAACAAATAACATTATAAATCCCTTTATATGATTTCAGATTCTATCATTGTTAAGGGAGGGAAAAGATACTGTTTACTGTGCTCCAACTATGCAGGTAAAATTTGTGATGATGGTACAACAGTAAAACTGCACTGCATTCCATCAGGTGACGGTGCCGATCAAACAACAAGGAGATCATTGTGGATTCAAAAAATCAAACTTGTGCGACCAGATGCTCCAATTAGCTCCAACTCTAGACTCTGCAATTTCCATTTTGAAAACAATATATGCAAACAGGGATCTATTCCATCCAAATTGAATCTGACCACACCAAGGAAAATAGTGTTACCCCGCAGACCTTTAGTGCGCTATTCTGAATTTGAGAACACTGAAAACATTCCCTGTAGGGATACATGTATATCTTCTACTATTGGTTCTTTGTCTTTAAAGGAAAGTTCTGAAACACAGACTGACCCTATAGTTGGGGATTCCGTATATGTCCAGACATCAGATGTGCATGTAAGAGATGATGCTACACAGACACAATTAAATAAGGCCAAATGTATGAAATCATCTGCATCTCAGACATTTGTTCCTATTTTCAAACCAGAGGTAATTGAAAACGATGATGAGAAGACAAAATATTATACTGGTTATCCAAATTATGCAACATTTTTACTGTTTTTTACTACTTTCTGCAAGCATGGTGCAGAAAAGTTGACTTACTGGGAAGGGGAAAAAAGAACTCAACTACATGCAGAAGACAGAAAGTATTCCCACCCAAATATTGAGAAACCTGGGAAGAAAAGGAGCCTACGAACAATCGATGAGTTCTTCATGGTGTGTTTGAAGTTGAGGCATGGTCTTCGGCAAGAATTCCTTGCAGATTTATTTAGTGTGTCTGTTATGACAGTTTCTCGAATCATTAATACATGGATAAATTTTATGTTTGATCACATGCAGTCCCTTATCCCATGGCCATCAAGAGAACAAATTTTAAGCAATTTGCCTAAACATTATACAGAAATGACTCGGGTTCGGATAGTTGTAGATGCTACAGAATTCTTTTGCGAGAAACCGGGAAACTTGGAGGCTCAATTTCTGACATGGAGTGAATACAAACACCATAACACATATAAAGTTTTAATTGGAGTTGCACCCAATGGTCTAGTAACATTTGTGTCCAGGGTTTGGGGAGGGCATGCATCAGATAGACATATTGTGCAAAAAGATGGTGACCTCTTCTTACCAAAGTTAGAACCTGGAGATGTTATTCTTGCAGACAAAGGCTTCACTGTTGGAGATTTACTTCCTGCACATATAGGACTAAATATGCCACCATTTGTATCATCTAGTTGTCAGATGAGTGTACAGGAATTCTTTAAAACTCAACAAATAGCTGCTCCCAGGATTGTTGTTGAAATGAAAATGGAGCAAATCAAGAACTTCAAGATATTACAATCTGTGCTACCACTTGCTGAAGTTCATTTAGCTGAACAAATAATTATGATATGTTGTGCCATGACAAANTGTGCGCTCTTCTGAATTTGAGAACACTGAAAACATTCCCTGTAGGGATACATGTATATCTTCTACTATTGGTTCTTTGTCTTTAAAGGAAAGTTCTGAAACACAAATTGACCCTATAGTTGGGGATTCCGTATATGTCCAGACATCAGATGTGCATGTAAGAGATGATGCTACACAGACACAATTAAATAAGGCCAAATGTATGAAATCATCTGCATCTCAGACATTTGTTCCTATTTTCAAACCAGAGGTAATTGAAAACGATGATGAGAACACAAAATATTATACTGGTTATCCAAATTATGCAAACATTTTACTGTTTTTTACTACTTTCTGCAAGCATGGTGCAGAAAAGTTGACTTACTAGGAAGGGGAAAAAAGAACTCAACTACATGCAGAAGACAGAAAGTATTCCCTACCAAATATTGAGAAATCTGGGAAGAAAAGGAGCCTTCGAACAATCGATGAGTTTTTCATGGTGTGTTTGAAGTTGAGGCATGGTCTTCGGCAAGAATTCCTTGCAGATTTATTTAGTGTGTCTGTTATGACAGTTTCTCGAATCATTAATGCATGGATAAACTTTATGTTTGATCACATGCAGTCCCTTATCCCATGGCCATCAAGAGAACAAATTTTAAGCAATTTGCCTAAACATTATACAGAAATGACTCGGGCTCGGATAGTTGTAGATGCTACAGAATTCTTTTGCGAGAAACCGGGAAACTTTGAGGCTCAATTTCTGACATGGAGTGAATACAAACACCATAACACATATAAAGTTTTAATTGGAGTTGCACTCAATGGTCTAGTAACATTTGTGTCCAGGGTTTGGGGAGGGCATGCATCAGATAGACATATTGTGCAAAAAGATGGTGACCTCTTCTTACCAAAGTTAGAACCTGGAGATGTTATTCTTGCAGACAAAGGCTTCACTGTTGGAGATTTACTTCCTGCACATATAGGACTAAATATGCCACCATTTGTATCATCTAGTTGTCAGATGAGTGTACAGGAATTCTTTAAAACTCAACAAATAGCTGCTCCCAGGATTGTTGTTGAAATGAAAATGGAGCAAATCAAGAACTTCAAGATATTACAATCTGTGCTACCACTTGCTGAAGTTCATTTAGCTGAACAAATAATTATGATATGTTGTGCCATGACAAATTTGTACGAACCCTTACTGAAGTGAATTATGCTGTTTGCAATGTCCTGTATTTAAGATTTCTAGATTACTACATATCAGATCATGTAAAATGTACATATAAATATACACAACTGTGATTATTTTGTTCAATGAAAATCACTTGAATATTTAAAATGGACAGATTTTTAGTTGACTCTTGACATTTAGTAATTTCAGTATAGTCAAATAATCTTTTCCTTAAATCTGAAGAGTCAAAACAAGTTCTAGAAAGACATATCTTTGTAAACTCTAGAGGCGAAGCTCATTATGGAGTCCACTGAAAACACTGATTTTAGTTTAAATAACTGTAAAATACATTTTATGACATGACACCATATATGTCCTAGATGGCTCAGGTTAAACTGTTAAATTATGTATCGGTACATAAATGTACACATTTGCATTCCATGGGACAATGTAAATTAACTTTAACAATCTTGTCTTATGTGTGAATTTTGTATTAGGTTTTGGGATGTTTTAATTTCAAAAAAATTGATTGGTGTATGGTCTGTTTCAACAACTATTGGTAAAAGAGTAAGATTACTGATCATGACAGTGACCAATAGCAGACAATGATTCAATTTTGAACAAGCAACCCATCACCTGGCTACACATGTACAACACACTGCCAATGCGCCATCAACATATCAATTGTTGTTCACGATTGTTTACAGGTATTTGCTATTGATGAAACAATTGCAATATCAGTATCTGTATGCAAGATTTCAAACTTTGATAATTTTCCATTCAGAAATTCTTGTCACAAACATTGCAATCCTATAGCTATTCATACAGGTGCAAACCACGTTTAACACGTTCAGTGAAAAGTTCAGCAACAAAGTCATGACTGTAAAAATCTTTTAGCTTGAATAACATATTACTCTGCCAAAAGTTTTCATCACATGTTATTCTTTCAACTGAGATTCCTCTCTTTGTCCAGACAACAAAATCAGCCCAGCCAAGTTTCAACACAGCCATGTGTCCCATGACTTGATAGTAATACTGGTGGTTTTTTTTGAGAGATAGTTCACAATCAATGTTGACCTCACAACAAAATGATTTATTCATTGCACATTCTGTAGTTTTTTATGTCTCCGTATGTCAGAGTTTTTTCCATATGGACATGTAATTTCCAGAGCACCTGAACCACATACAGAACATGTAATTAGTCCATCCACACTTGCACCCAAAAAGGGAAACTGTTGGCTGACCTAGACACCCATGTCCTTCACTTAAACATCCCCACTACATTTTGTCATATGTTCTTTAATGTATGCTCTTCTGGCTGTATTTTCATACCGTCTACCATGCTGTAATGAGGGTACACCTTCTGGGATAGGTTTGTAACCCCTGAGCTGTTTGATGAGGTTGTCGGCTGATGTTTTGTCTTGGCGACGACATACCATTCCAAAGTTAGAGGCTGTTAACAAATGAGATCTCATAGTTTTCCAGTTTTTCTTGTTAGATTGTCCCCTAGTTGCAATATTGACATTTTCTGACTGCTCATCTGAGATGCTTAAATTATTTGTGAAATCCCGGAATTCAGTCTGATAAACTGTTGACGACAAGTCTACTGAATCACAGTACATGTAGCTGGGTTTATAAACATTCAAAATGTCATCAATATTACCAGAAGAAGCACACATTGTACGGTATAGCACACATGATGGATTTGCCAGCTTTAACCCATGCAATATATCATTAAAAAAATTGTCAGGACCCTTACATGGACCAGCCTGATAAACATTAGGAAATGGTTTTATTGCATACTCTTTCGTAGAGTCTGTCCCAAAATTGATATCTGCAAGACGTTTAGGGCTGGGTGGTTTTGTCAGATTTGCATTAGGTCCTAGCCAGGTACAGCCAGCGGAAGTACATGATGTTTTCACCTTTACAATAGTTAACAGAAGGCCACCAACATGACTACACACACCTGAAAGTCCTGCCTTGCAATCACAGTTGGCACATATTATTTTACCTGTCTGTTTGGTCAAGGTCACTGACAGGCTGTAATAGCTTCTTACTTTACCATCAGTCACTGCTACTGTCTGACGCATACTTGGTTTGCATTTTGCACGCACAACACAATAAGGTGATGTATTGTCAACAGAATGACACTGTATGTCTGCAATATAGTTCTCGTTACTGAACTTTTTTGACTTCTTCAACTGTCTGTTGCAATGTTTGTTTTTTCCTGTCACTGGATTTTTCTCGAACAAAAAGTAATTATCTACATCCTCTGATCTTACAGGAGGGCAATTAGAAGTTGTCAGCTCATCCCATTCATTCAGTTCCTTGACATCAGGCAAGTTTGTGTAGCAATTATTTTCATCATCCGAGCTGTCTGATGATATATCGCTCTCACCAAAATTAATAGTACGCAATATTCTATTCACCAGAACAGTTTTGTTTCCAGACTTTTTCAAACTACGTTTTGTTAGCCAATGTTGTAAATTTGTCTTTGACCAACCATTCAGTTCTTCCAAAGATACACTCCTTTCCTCACCAGAGTCAGCCATTTCTGAAACAGCAAAATAACAATGATTTCTCCAGGTTTATCTATTTAAATAATAGGCCCAGGGGGCAGGTATCGCTCACCTGGATATACCAGGTAGTTTTATTCATCAACTATTTTTGGAATTAAGACTTTAAAAGAAATATGGCCATATTAACTCTCTAGATTTTTTCCCCCACCTTCAGCCCCAAGGTAATTTTAAAAGTGGTATGATGCAGGCATTGGTATTCTACATGATATACTGTATGGTATACAAATGATGTACATAACCCCCTCCCATATGCATCCCAACCACAAGTACTCCACTCTGGATCTTCTGTGGGTTTTTTTTTTACAGTTATCATAATATCTATAGTTATTACCACAGTAAAGTTATTAAAATTGAATTGCTTCAAGTTTGTTTTAACAGCACACCTTCTAGTAAAACCTAAAAATTAGTATGTATGTATTGATTGTTTTTTATAGAGTTAAAATTACTAGGTATGCACAAAGTTTCAAACAATTATATCACTGATCAGTTATTTTCATACTTTGTTATAAATTTATATATATATATTGGGTATATCACAATACTGATTAAATTATTTTGTTATAAGTTAAAATTCAAAATTAAAACAGTTGAGCATCAATGTTTTAAAACTGAACACATGTACATTTCAAAACGAATTTATATCAAATGTTTATTTGAAAACAAGAAACCCCAAATGTATGTGTAACTCATGAGCAGGTATTTCAGATATTGACAAACTGGCCCTGTTTAACATTGTTAGAAGGAAACAGAACTTTGTATGCAACAACCTTTTAATTACTTTTTTCTTATCATGTGTGATACTCATTTCATCTAAGTTATAATAATGTATATAGTTAATGTGTGTTGTGACATATGTAAAAATGTATATATAATATCCTTGATAGATTTTTAATTTCAGCAATTAGATTTTAGGATATGAATCAAGATATAAATACTGTATATATATATAATCAAACTAAATATATTTTTATTGAATTTGTCAAATTTATGTTTAGATTGGATATTTGATTCATGGACTCGTTCTTTTAATGGACTTAGCTAACTTTTTGAGAACCCATTATATCTCTTAATTAGTTGCCTCATAAAAATAGATCTTTTTAATGTGTGCATATTACATTTTATGAACCGAGTTTAGGCATCAATAAATACATATTTACACTTGATATGTTGTACTTAGTCCAGATGTTTGAGTGGAAAGAAAAAGTGGATGACTACTCTGGAACTCGTATGATTGAACTGTACTGTATAGGTACAATCACAGTTACCAGATGTTAAAAGTGCAT